TTGTTATACGCAACATCCTTCGATCGTGATAGAGCGCTACAACGTCTTTTAGATTCTGCTCCGGAATTATCAGGATCTGATAGTCAAGAACGTGTTACACCTCGTTTAGAAAGAAGAAAAAGAACTATTTCTAGAACGGATATTTTGAAACAAGCTGAACAAGTTATTCAAGATTTAGCTTCTAGTAAAGCTCTACTTGAAGTGCAATATGTTAACGAGGTTCATTTTATAAACATATATATATATATATATATATATATATATATATATATACATAATAATATATGGACCGTTTATATTTGTATTAATTTTGTGAATGTTTTCTTAGGTCGGAACCGGATTGGGCCCAACTTTAGAATTTTATGCGCTAGTCTCTAAAGAACTTCAACGTGCTGATTTGGATCTTTGGCATGGTAGTTCCAATCCTACAGAAATGGGTTACGTTAATCCTATACATGGGCTCTTTGCGACACCAATACCATGGAGTACTAAAGTATCACATTTGGCTAAACTTAAAACTAAATTCAAATTTCTTGGTAAATTTATGGCAAAAGCAATATACGACTCTAGAATGGTACGTTGACAATTTAAAAAAATATTAATTAAAATATAAACGTAATAATATATATTTTTTATAACGCCATTGTTATTTTTTCAGTTGGATCTACCATTTAGTTTAACATTTTATCGTTGGTTATTGGGAGAAGAACATACGCTTACTTTAACAGATTTATTATACGTTTGCCCCGATATATATCGTACTTTAACGAAATTACAAGAAATTGTTAGACGAAAGGAATTAATAGAAAAGGATCAAACTTTAAGAATAACGGAGAGAGCACAACGAATTGAAGCGCTCGATTTAGATGGTTGTCCTATTTCCGAGCTTGGTCTTGTCTTTGAATTACCAGGCTACGAAAATATTGAATTGAGGAAAGGAGGAAGCGACGTGCCTGTCACCATTCATAATTTGGATCAATATATCAAGGTATACAAATAAACAAATAAATATATAATTATTATTTATATTAAATATATTAATATAATGTTATATATTACAGTTAGTAACACATTGGTTCCTCTACGAGGGAGTTTTTAGACAAATGGAAGCATTTAGAGAAGGTTTCGAATCCGTATTTCCACCTGCGCAATTGAGATTATTTTTCCCCGAAGAATTGGAAGCAGTGTTTTGCGGACACACCCAAGGTGGTGGCCAATGGGATACGAAAACTTTATTAGAATGTTGCCGTACCGATCATGGCTATACTCCAGATTCTCGTGCTATACGTTTCTTATTTGAAGTCTTATCGAAATATGATAGCGAAGAACAAAGACAATTTATTCAATTTGTCACTGGGTCGCCACGATTACCTGTCGGAGGTAATTCTATTATTTATTTATTTTCTTTTTTTCTCTTATAATAATAATTCAATAATTATACAATATAAATCAATTTATTTATTTGATTTATTATTATTTTTATTAACGTACGACCTTTTTTCGTAGGCTTTAAAAGTTTGACCCCACCGTTAACGATAGTGCGGAAATCATTTGATCCGTCTATGAAAACTGATGACTTTTTACCATCCGTAATGACTTGCGTTAACTATTTAAAATTGCCCGATTATACTACGTTGGAAATAATGCGGGAAAAATTGAGAATAGCAGCACAAGAAGGTCAACATTCATTCCACCTTTCCTAGAAAATGGATTGGGAAAAAGAATCACCACCACCGCCGCCACAACACAACGTCGTCATTCATCAATTTATTCATTCATTAATTCATCCATTCGTTCGTTCATTTACTCAGTCATTATTTTTTTTCGCTATCTCATTATTATTATACATATATATTCAGGTTGAGAGACCAAGAAGAGGTTTTATCAAATATATATGTATATATATATATATAT